ATATATATATATATCAAAAAAGATTAAAAGTTTGAATGGCAGCATCATTGGAATTATATTTACCTCTGCCAAGGAGGTTATGTTTTCACCCCTGTTTGTCTGTCATCAACATAACTCAAAAAGTTACGGACCGATTTTGATGAAATTTTCAGGAACTGTCAGAAGTGGGCAAGGAGGACAATGATTAGTTTTTGGTGGTGGTCCGGATCAATAATCAATCAATAATAATCAACAATTGCTGTCTTGGCAGAGGTCTGCGCTCTTGGAGTGCCTTTCTAGTTTTGTTATGTTTTCCTTTTTAATTTTTTTCTCAAACACTGGCATTTGTGACTTTTAACTCTCATCTGCCTGAGGCTCTGCACATTTTCTATATTTCCACATAAGCAGTTGTATTGTTTTTTATGTCTTTAAACATTATGTAATATTATTTTATGCACTGTCATCATTTTTCAAATATTGAGACTTTCATCATGAGAATTTGAACTCTCATGGTCTTGAAACTGTAATCTTACTGAAGGGGTGGATTGAGACCATCTTCTGGGTCTTCCGGAAGACGGTCAGGTTATTAAGTTTATATTGACTGGTATCTATTTTTTTCTGTTGGAAGACCATAAAAATGGAGGATGGATCAACATAGATACTGGAATACTGTCAGAAAATATCTCTGGGTTCGCTCCTGTTATTGACCATGGTACCTGTTGTGCATGATTAAAATTTAGTGTTGACTGACAGTGCTATTATAAGCATTATTTATTATTGCATCAAAATTGACAAAATGACCTATTTTGCATCTTTATTTTCTGTTTTTTGTCTGTACATTTGACAGCTTTGCTGCCTTGTTTTAAAGCTTTATTTCCTTCTTCCTCAGGGTACAGCCTACAGCAAGGAAGATGTCACTGATACCAGTGGCACCCTCGGGAGCTCTTCAGATCAATTTGAGGAAGACGAAAACCCAGAGAGAGGAAATTGGACTGGGAAGCTGGACTTCATTCTCTCCTGCATTGGTTTTGCTGTAGGTTTGGGAAATGTGTGGAGATTCCCATACCTGTGCTATAGAAATGGAGGAGGTAGGGGAATTGTGCATGGCTCAAAGTGTCATGTCTTTAAAAACTATGCACGATCTCTTGTTATTTATGGGTGAATCCAGGGCACAGGCCCTACCCCTTTTGCAACACAATTATGATGCCCTTTCCACAGTATTTAGGATAGACTCATGCACAGTAGATAACCAAAATGATTTCAGTTAAATGAAATCCATTATTTTTTTGTTTGTCACTTTGTAGTTGTTTTCATGGTACTAATCTATATGTAACATGGCCTGTAATAAATGTGGGCTCTGGCTACAACCCTCTTGCAGCAAAGGTACTGGAGGGAGATTCCCCCTCCCCCTGACCCCCTTGTGATTTTTCAAACCTTTTGCTGTGAAATAACATCTGCAGTATAAGGTGCAGTATATATGCTTTGAGCGTGTGCGCCATTTGATTGATTAAAAATCAATTTTTGGTTAGTGAAATTATAGAAAATGGCTGGGAGGGTAATTTTATTTTTTGCTGTGAGACAGATAGATAGATACAGCCCCAGTGCTTCAGTTTCATTGTGAATGCTTGGCGCTTGAAAGACCATGTTTTTTTGTGTTTGTGAAAATATAGACCATTTTATATTGGTTATTGCTAACTGGGTTATTTGAAAATCATTTATTATAAATTCATGTCATCACATATGGGTAATGAGATAATTTTGTTTTAAAAAATATCTTTACATAAGAATGACTTAGAGGCATTAATAGTTTGCCGGAATTGAAATTTATAATGATATGAAAAGAATGTTATGAAATACGTAGTTGAAAATCTGCTGGAGGTCTCAGAAGTATACCAACGGAACAAAATAACCACTGTGAACCATATTATATTTTCTTTAACTTATATAAGAGCCTACAATGTAATATTTAAGGACAAATATATTAAGGACAAAAGTATTTTGTATTCCCCTCAGTGTTACACACTTGAATACTGTGGAATGATCTTTATTGAAAAAGCTGTTCTTTGTATGTACACTAGTTTTGACATCTGATCATTGGTTGTTACCTAATATCTGGTTTAAATGTTTGAGTCTTTCAAAAGTAGCAAAACATTAAGGCATTTTTACCTTTTTTTGCAAAGTTTTCGAAATCACTTGTCTAAAGTGATGTATATGTGCAAATGGTAGTAGCCCTGTTTGGCTGAGGTGAAGTTTATATAGACTACCTGTAAAAAGAGAACACATGAACAAAGAAATATATTATTTACCTATAGTCAACAAGATATATGGTTACAAAACAGCAAAAGAGTGAAAAATAGCTGTTAGTTGTTTACACATTCCCAAGGCAACAAAACATTTGCCACTATAATAGATATTAATTTTCATATCAATATTTAAACAAGAAACATTAAAAAATATTTTTCTAGTAATGTAATTGTACCAGTTTGCATTCATGTTGCTCATCATTTTAAATTGAATTTCTAGATGTATTTGTTATGTTCACCTTGAGGTTTAGACTGGGTTCCCATGCCCAGATCATTCCATCTGGATCGGTCTAACTCCCTGGGGAGTCTCACTAAATTGCTATCTACTAACTGGCTTAAATGTCTGTCACGCCTACCGAATCAGCTAGGGAGTGAAGATAATTACCCCCTAACAGCTATACTAGGCGTGACAGACATTTAAGCCAGTCATGTTGATAGCAATTTAGTGAGAGTCCCCAGGGAGATAGATCGATCCAAATATCTGTGGGAATGGTTCCTTAGTGATAACTGGACCCCAGCCTCTAAATTTTCTGCTTGTTGATAATATACATGTAGAGGTACACTCTAAAACTTGGGGTGATCTTATCCAACTATACTGGCTCTTTGTTTTATTTCAGGAGCTTTCCTTATCCCTTATGTAATAATGTTAACTTTGGCAGGACTGCCACTCTTCTTTATGGAACTGGCTTTTGGACAGTATGCTTCCTTAGGCCCACTTACCATCTGGAAGATTAGTCCTATTTTCAAAGGTAAATATTTTTGTTCAAAGCTGTGCCTCATTTACACTTTTTTGTTATCTTTTTGATCCAGTGTCAACTCCAGCTTTTGTCCATTTCATTCCTGAATCTGTGTTTTGAAATTTCATTTGACTGAACAAAATTCATTACCATCTGCCCCGAAAAAAAAAACTTAATAATTAAAACTTTCTCACTTATTATTGACAAAATTATCGTAACTAGTCAGTTATGATGCATTTTTTGTCAATCAGTTATGAAATATTAATAACATTTTTGTCATAATTTAGTTTTCTTCATAAACAACTGAATTTTACAAAAATACCTTATGTAAGGATTTATAAAAAAATAATTGTCTTTTACTTTTATTCCAGGCCTTGGTTATGCCATGGTGATCATCTCTGGATTGGTATGTATTTACTACAACNCTATTTTTTTTTCTGTTGGAAGACCATAAAAATGGAGGATGGATCAACATAGATACTTTGGAATACTGTCAGAAAATATCTCTGGGTTCGCTCCTGTTATTGACCATGGTACCTGTTGTGCATGATTAAAATTCAGTGTTGACTGACAGTGCTATTATAAGCATTAATTATTATTGCATCAAAATTGACAAAATGACCTATTTTGCATCTTTATTTTCTGTTTTTTGTCTGTACATTTGACAGCTTTGCTGCCTTGTTTGTATGAGATATTATAGGGATAACTTTCCATATGAGATCCATGTTTCACAATAAATACATTGAAAACAACTCATAGAAATATAATAAATTCTATTTTACCACCAAAACAGCAGTTATTGCGATTGTTTTGGAATCCATGTTTGCCATTGGACCATGTGACTTCCATGGACAGCTACCCTTAATTTATAATAAGAGATTACTACAAAAAAAAAAAAAAAAAAACAGACTAACTTTGAATGGAAGAACAGGTTCTTTAACCATTGTTAAGTATGGGAAAATTGTCATGTACCCTCCAAAAATCCATTTTGTTGCCAAATTGAACAGTTGTTGTCCCTTTAAATCTGAGCATCCACTTTTCAGTACATTTTACGCTTTAGATTTCATCCATATAACTGACAAAGAAAGCAATACAAGGGAAACAATTACTGACACATTATACACTTTTGCATTTTGAATTGGTGACAATTTTAAAAACTGAAAAATGACAATTCACTTGAATAGGTGTCTCCAATATATATATTCCTTTATACTGACATTAGTCCCATAGTCTTGAGCATTGTGTTTTCAAGAGATGAATTTGCTGTCTGTGTGGTATATAACATTTTCTTGGAAGTAATCATAAAAAGCATTTTCTTGTTTTCTCAGTTAGCTAGCTGAAGAAGAAGTGGGTTAAATTTTTTTTTTTTTTTTTTGCAGGTTTACAGATTCTCAAATGATATTCACTGCCTGGACTTGTCCACATTTATCTGGTCACTGTTGCACACATGGGTAAGTACATGTTGGTATAACTCACAGGATACCGACACCAGATGATCTGGATGTGCTGTTTGTTTAAAGATGCGTGCACGTGCTTTGTGCAGAGAGTTCTTGCAGATAGTGATTCCCCTCCTTTTTAACTTTGTAAAGAAAATTTAAAGAAAATTTTCACTTAAAAGAGATTTTCAAAGGCTAAAAATTAAGTTATGGATTTTTGAGTATGATTAAGATGCACTGAGAATCCTAGAGCGCATTCACAGCAGTGGACTAACAGATCCACAGATGAAATATGTCTGAATCACTTGCATGCTCGTTGTATAATCCCTACAGGGAATCTGTTCAGTGTCTAATCGGGAATTAAGCGACAAGCTTTTTAGTGGGTTGCCATATTTGATCCTCGGATCTGTTAGTACGCTTTTCTGAATGTGCACTTACCTGTATAAGAAAATTCACAATTAAGAGATTTTCATTTCTGAATAAAAATCTTCCTTGTATACTTTTCAAATTTTTTATGATTCAGCTCTGGGAACGGTTAATAAAATCTTTGATATTTCAGGGTACCCCAGCTCGCTGGCGAGACTTCCACTCAGCCACTGGCATTGGTCATTTTATGTATATATTTGGTGGCAGAGGAGATAGAGGAGGACCTTATCACACAAACAATGAAGTCTATTGTAATCAAATGCAAATATTTAATACTCAAGACAATACATGGTATGAGCCAAGTTGTACAGGAGACATTCCTTCACCTGGACGGAGGAGTCACTCAGCATGTGAGTTCAGGTTATAGGGGATGCGTCTGTGCATTGTCTACATACAAAAAAGTTTACTTCAAGCTATCTCATCCTGAAACATTTTGTTTTTTTTTTCACCAGTAAGTGATTGTTTTCAACAAGAAAAGAGGTAGCATCTGGTTAATTGCAAAAAAATAATACATGTATAACACAAAATGATGAGGGAATTCTTTTTTACTTATGACATGAGAGATAACTTGATTAGCATGAGGTAAAATCAAAATGATACATAAATTATATCAGATTTTTTCACATTAACTCAAATTTGAGAAATTTCAATCTGCTGCATGTGAAGCAGAAACCCAAGGAATATATTGGACTTTCTCAGTCTGTCACTTTGAAAATGCTGTTTACTTTTTCCTTCTCTATTTCTTTCAGTTGTATATAAAAATAAGCTGTATCTATTCGGTGGTTACAATGGTTTGGTAGATGAGCATTTTAGTGATCTGTACAAGTTTGATCCAGGTAAGTGTATTTTCATCTTTTTTAGTTTCACTAAGATACTCCTATATAGTACATGGCTGTAGATTTTTATGTACAGTTCAGTTTCTGTATATATTCTGATCATCATTAATTTTGGTGACGTTCACCCCAAAATTACCATGCTGTATTTTAGTATTACTTTCATTTTACAAAGGAAATTTATTTGATAAAAAGGCAGGTTGGGATCGAAAAATCAGCAAGATTGGATTTTTTTGCAAAAGTTATTGATTTTTTCCTTGTGACACACTGACACCTTTGGTTGGGGGTTTAAAGCACTCTACATTTGGAAACATGACCTAAATTGAGACTTGAAGACTGGGGTTGGCATTACTGTCTTGTCAGCCATCATTCAAGATGATCAAGTTTCACGGAAATTTGCATAAGAATTTGCAGGATTTTTTTGGAGAGTTTGGTCAGAAATAAGTGCTTTTTTAGTTTCCCTTCATTAAGGGTGAAGAAATATTCCATTAGTCAACAGTTAGACAGCAAACATTTTGGTAAATTACAGCAGTATTGCAGCTTCTGATATTATTCTGAAGAACACTGATATTCAGGTTTTAAATTTTGTTTTAAAATGATTACTGAGGTCATTATTCTGTAATGACCTCAGCTGCACCACAGCCGAAGTCATTATATGTGCAATATTACACTTAATCATGAGACTTTGGGCTATCAGTGATGATTGCTGTTGGCTGACTACTTCTTTAGTTACCATGCTTTGAGGTGATGTGATTCCAAGAAAATGAAACATACATGGTGCCAACTCCTACTAAGAGCGCATTCTCAACAAATTAAGCCAGGCTTTACAAAGCCAGTGACCTAAAAATGGCTGACGTACATGAAAGAAAAACCACCTAATCTTTTAATAGTCTCTCCGCCTCTCACACGCCTCCCCACACGTCGTCCCTGCGGGGTACAGTAATTAAATCTCGGCTCCGAACATTAATATTTCCGTGAATATCTCTGGTGATATTATCTCCGTAGATAGTCGATTCATTGCTGCTCTATGGGCCAAATTATTCCTTTTTCGTCTCTGTTTTCAAAGATAATAGAACAGAAGAGCTTTTTTCCTTCGATCGCCTTCAGCCG